AACTACTGTTCATCTTTTCTTTAACTGTCCGCATGCCTTGCAGATTTGGAGAGCCGCTCATCTCCCTATTCCCAGTCTTACAAATCCGCAAGATAATTTGGAAACTAAGTTGAGAGATTTGCTGCAGTTTCATAAGTATAAAGGAATTTATGATTTTCTTGCTCATTTGCCTTTTTGGATTCTCTGGAAAATTTGGTAGAGCCGGAATCGTTTGGTTTTTGAAAGGAAACATACTAATTGGCAACGTGATATCCGTGAAGCTAGACAAGAGGCAGAGGAATGGTTTTCTGTTGAAAGTTCTCTTATTCATACGCCTTCTGCTGGTTCTGGTGCTTATTTGACTAATCCTCCCAATCGTGGTTGGTGTAAACCAGTTTTGAACTGGGTAAAGTGTAATTACGATAGTGGTTTCATTGACAATCGTATTCAAGCTTCTATGGGTTGGTTGTTTAGAGATGATTCTGGTTCTTTCATTGAAGCTGCTCAAGCTACAGGTCTCCCGGTTCCCTCTATTATTGCAGCTGAGTGTCAAGGTTTGGTTTGTGCAATGAAGCATGCCTGGTTGCGCGGTTTTAATAAAGTAGTTTTTGAAGGAGATAATCAAGTTCTTGTTCGTCTCTTAACTGGTTCTGCTGTTCGCTATGATCTTCTCAATTGGATTCATGAGATCAAAGGTTTGGCTACTCTATTCGAAGCTGTGGAGTTTACTTGGACTCCAAGAAGTAACAATATCCCGGCAGATATTTTAGCTTCTACTCAACGTTTGAACCCATTGTCCTTTTCTTTTTTTCAACTTATTCCCAAATGTATAGATTCTGCTTTAAACAAAGGAAAGCCCGGCTCCAATCCAAGTTGTTCAAGAATGGTGGCCTTGAGTTTCTCGACCCTTTGACTTAGGATTAGTCAGTTCTAGTTCTTGATGGGGGAAGGGATATAACTCAGCGGTAGAGTGTCACCTTGATGTCTCCGTTTCTAATTAATAAAGAGTTGAAGTTTTGAAAAAAAAAACAATAATGATAACACACTACACATACCTGGGCGGAGTGACTTTCTTCATGGGCAGTTCAGCGTTCGAGACATACCTCGAAGAGATTCAATCAAGTAAGGGAGTATTTTCTTCTTTTTTTGGTCAAATCTAAACGATATCCCGCAATCCTCAGTCGTAAAACAAAAACCAAAAACTTCTATGTCATCAAAACTGTTGACAAAAAAATAAAATAACATGTTATATAAAATGATATTGCGCTAACATATTATATATCTAAATAATATATATGTGAACATAGTAAGATAGTCTATATATGAATAATATTATTATACACATGTAATTTATATATAGATTCACCAATAGTAATTAATAACGAGGTTCATATATGCATGACAATTTTATTTTGTACATTTAACACAATAAATATTTTTGTAATAAGTGAAAAATAATGTTAAAGAGATACATTGTTAATAATTCGTTAAAAAGATGAGCGGCTAAAAATTAAAAACAAAGCAGAAGGATAGTAGAGTAACTTCATCAGTTTTATTTTTGTAGTCATTTTGTTCATCTATGTTTCTAATCTTCTATGTATACATGATGACATTACCCTCTTTTTTTTTTAGTTTCTTTGAATCATCATATAATACATAAAAACTAGAGAATTTTTGAGAAATACCCCTTTTGGTGTACCCCTTTTTAAAAATACCCCCTTTATCTATCCATTTTCAAAAATACCCCTTTTTAAATATAAAAGATTATAAAGTTTTATATAGTTTATAAGGTACTTCTATATAATAACTACTACTGGGAGATTTGATACAAATATTTTAAAATGTTTTAAATAGTTTTAAATCGTTTTTATAAGTTTTATAAGGTTTTTCAAAGGTTTTTAAAAGGGTTTATACGGTTTTTATAAGGTTTTTATAAGGTTTTTATAATTTTTTTACGCTATTTATGAAAGGTATATAAAGTTTTATACACATATAAAGGTAATTTGTGTATATATTTATAAGCTTACACACATATTTGGATAAATTTCAACATTTTTAGTGGGTTTTTTGATAAAGTTTGAAAAGAGGGTATTTTTAAAAAGAGGTATATGAAAAGGGGTATTTTTGAAAATCCCCCTAAAAACTAATATATATCTATATTTTCTCTACATATGTTATGATTTTGTTAATTGTTTTTAAAAAAAATAGTTTCTTTGATCATCATATAATACATAATCATGTTTTATGTGATCATTGTTGAATAAGATTATTATTTTTAAAAACTTTAACAATAGTATGAAATTGAATGATTCGCAAAAATTTTGGTGATTGACAATTTAAAATTACTAGATTTTGTAAATTTTATATATATAATTTTTTGGAGTTATATATATATATAATAATATTATTATTTTTTGGAGTTAATTGCGTGCAAAAAAGTAGTGGGGAAGGTTCTCTCTGGTGCACCTAATGTGAGTGATTCTTTATATTATCTTCCTTATATTATTATACTCTGCTAGTCTCCAAGTATGTTAGCTAAAAATTATTTTCACAAAATTTTCAGGAGATCATACTTGTCCTTGATGGAAACACTGGTTTGAACATGCTTCCACAAGCTAGAGAATTCAACGAGGTAGCATATGGAACCACCTAAACCTAGTGTTTCTGGCTCCCCAAACTATAAATGCTTTGTAAAATCTTGAGATTTCTTGAGATTTTGGTGGTCAGGTTGTTGGTATAACCGGTTTGATATTGACGAAACTATATGGCTCTGCTAGAGGAGGCTGTGTGGTAAAAACTCCATAAAACTCTCTCTTTTCCTTTTTTTTAAATTTCTGGTCCCACCTAAAGCTCTTATTTTCCAGCAGTTCTGTCATTAAAACTGGTTCTGCATATCTTACTGCAGGTCAGTGTGGTTGAGGAATTGGGCATCCCTGTAAAGTTTATTGGTGTAGGAAAAGCTATATCTATATGCACATGTAAATATATTTATTTAGATTAAAAAAAAAACTCTATTTACTAAATAAAAATATTTTATTTTTGTTAAAGAGCTATTGAAAATAAATAACTCTTCCATCGGACATGTCCTAATTTTGTGTGTATATATGAGTAAGATTCTAGCGTTTTGTGATATGAATCCCCACACACCGGTGAAAATGTTGCTGATAGGATTATCGAGTGTTTGAAGAACTGGGATAAAGAAAATAAGTTTATGTATTATCTTGGATAACACTAAAATCAATGATAAAATGCAGAAAGTCCCTTGGGTCGATTTCAGATAATGAGTGGAAATGGTTTGCTATTTGATGAAAAACTTATGCATGTTAGATGTTGTGCACATATTCTGAACCATATTGTGAAAAAGGTTTAGAATTAGTGAAAGATGTTTTACACAACATTTGCAAAAGTGTAAGATATTGTGAAAGTATCTCAGCAAACTAGAGAATCGTTTGCTGCATGTGTAGAGAGAATAGGGATAAAGAGCGCGGCAGGTTTGTCTCTTGATGTTCCTACTAGATGGAATTCTACATATGAAATGCTTGCCAGAGCATTAAAATTTAGAGAAATATTTCTTAGCATGAAGGTATTATTTGATACCAATTATATATTTTCTTTCCTTACCATGGTGATTAGAACCGTGGAGAGAAGATTTGTGATATGTTGAAGCCGTTTAGTGTTATCACAACACATTTTGCACTCCCAATTGGCTAGACAGGTTTGTTGACTATGGAGGTAAAATATTTAAACTGAGAGATTTCTAAATAAATGATTAACTGATTTTTTTAGTAACTAAATTTCATTTTAAATTATAGATACTACAAAAGATACTGAAAATGACCATGGAGGTGTTTGAAAGACGACGACTACTTAGGGAGTCGAATGTTAAAGAACCGAGATTCCAGTGTGCCATGAAATATTTTTTTATCTTTTGTTATTGATTATCTTTTTTCAAGATTTTTACTATGAGGACTACTTATCACAAAGTCTTTGATTTAAATATGGATTGATTTTATATTTTTAAAGTTTACATGTGAAGGATATATATAAAAGATAATGAGAGATTTGTGGTTAAAAAAATATAGTTAGAGAATAACCTAAATTTTATTATTCTTTAAAAAAAATAAGTATAATATTATTATCATTGATTAATCAAATTTAGTAATGGGGTCTTATCTTGGAATACCGAAGAGTTTAGGAATCCTTCGTCAGTGATAGGCTACATAGTCATATTAACGGGTGGTCAGCCAGATTACTTTCTGGGGGGGGGGGAAGTGATGATTAAGTCTGTGGCAACGGCTTCACCGACTTATGCGATGTCTTGTTTTTGACTCCCAAAAACAATTACATTTAAACTCACTAGTGCAGTGACAAAATTTTGGTGGAGTACAAATGGTCAGACATGGGGTATGCACTGGTTGGCTTGGGAGAAGTTATGTTCTATCAAGAAAATGTGCGGTCTAGGGTTCAGGGATGTTAATGATTTTAACACGACTCTGCTAACAAAACAGTTGTGGAGACTCATTGACACTCTTGATTCACTGTTTGCAAAGGTTTTTAAGAGTAGGTACTATTGGAATGCAAACCCAGTGGAAACCAATTAACTCTTACTCATCGTCTATGGTTGGAGAAGTATTATTTCAGCTTAATCACTAATTCAATCACCACAATTTACACCAACAACCTAGCAAGCTTCTAATCTAGGTTCCAACAACAAATAACATATTTATAACATGACAACCAAGACTTTGTGATAAGTAGTCCTCAGAGTAAAAATCTCCACTCTCTGTTCTTTCTCTCCACTTTTCACAAAGCGACAAAACTCCTAAATGAACAGAGATCAACGGATTACAAGTTTAAGTCGAGTTTTAGGGCTTCTCCTAAACCAACTCACTTAAACCGATAATTAAACCACACCGCCCAAACCACCAAAATTAGTGGTGTCAACCGACACCCTCCATGGTGTCGACCGACACCCACTAAAATTGATACACAGGCGTTACAGCAATTAAAGCGGGCTATCATACGGCTAGAATGCCGAATCCACAGTTATCTTTTAATAGAGTGTATGGACCATATCTCATACCACTGTTGGCTGGTATCTGGAAAGTAAAATATCCACCAAAATTACAACACTTTATGTGGTAATTACAAACAAGATGTGTCTCGATCTCAGTAAATTTAAGCCGTCGGGGTATTAATTTTGATTCCACTTGTGGTAGATGTGGTACTCAAGCGGAGACAGTAAACCATGTCATTTTTGAATGCTGCCAGCGCATCAATCATGGGCTTTAGCGCACATACCAGTGGGACAACTTTCTTTTCCAACAGAGTCAGTGTATGCAAATATCGATTACTTTCTTGGCTCAATTTCTACCACTGGCCAGAATGACGCTTTCCCCAGGTTAATTTGGTATATTTGGAAGGCTAGAAATGCAAAGTTTTTAAAAATTTGGACAAAAATTTACAGGATATTTTTAGGTTGGCTGAGAGCGAGGCGAGTGCTTGGAAGCATGCATAAGTTGAGGACTCAAACCAAAATATGGTACCTTTGTTACCTAGTCCTCATGTACGGAGTGGCCTAGTCACTCTATCTTCTACTTTTATAGGTTACCGATGTTTCGTTGATGGCTCACGGAAGGCAACTGATACTTGTTTAGGCCTAGGTTTTGTCAGCACTCTCAAGACCCTTCAACAACCATGGGGCAGCAAACCTACGAAGAAGTCTTTCTTCCCTCCATTATGAAGTCGAGGCGCTTGTTTGGGCAATGGGGTGTATGTTTGGCCATAATTGAAGGATTGTTACGTTTTTTACTAATAGTTATGATTTGGTGAAGATGGTGTCATCTCTTTCTGAGTGGTCAGCTTTCTCTCTTTACCTGGATGACATAATCACCGATAGGAAAGAGTTCTCAACATTTTCTTTATCTCTTATTCCAAGAAATGCAAATGCTCAAGCGGATCTCTTGGCACACAAAGTTCGTACCATTCCGCATCTTGTCAAGTTTGTAAATAACTTTCCTCTTCAAATTGGCTTTCTTGAGCCAATTTTTAGTTTTTGTTGTAAAAAAAAAAAATTTAGTAGATTAATCAATTAAATAATTATTAGGTATATTGTAAACTAGAATTAATTGTATATTAAGTTAATTAATTTTAATTTATTTACTACTTATAAAAATAGAATAAATAAATTTCAATGCTTATGATATTTTTACACTTTATTTATTTAAATCATACAATAGAAGCATACATCCATATCTGTTGAATTTATTCATTGATTAATTGTTCAATTTTGATAGTAATTTTCTTTAGTACTTTTGAGTATTTTTGATAAACAATATATTTTTAATGATAAAAATAAAAATGATTTTGGGAGAATTTAGAAAATACCCCTTTTCAAATATGACTTTTTAAATTTACCCCATTTTCAAACTTTATTAAAAAACCCACTAAAATGTTTAAATTTATCCAAATATGTGTGTACGCTTATAAATATACACACAAATTACCTTTGTTTGTGTATAAAATTTTATTTATTTCAATTTCTTACAAATTGGTTTGATAATAATATAACAAAAATTTATTTTGTTAAAATAATTACATACTTTTGAAAATAAAATAAATATACATGAATATGTGAGAAAGAAACAAGCATCCATAGGAAAAGAATGAAAATGTTTTATGTAGCTATATTTTCTTATGGTGCGATGGTCGGAAATCCATCAATAAAATAATTTTCTTATAACCATAAAATATTATTGTACATATGTATTACATTTAAAAATAAATAAAAAACAATGAAGAAATGAAGAAATGAAGAAATACATAAAAACAAAAAATAAATAAAATAAATAAAATTGAAAACAAAATTTTAAACCAAATATTTAATCAAACTATTACAATGACATCTTAATTGAGTTTCCACCCCACTCAAGAACATTAAAATATAAAACAAAGACAATATTGAGGGTATCAGATATGGTGGTGGAGGAGGATGTGAGAATGGTAATTTATAGGATAAGAAGTGATGTAACTTACAATTTTAAAATAAATAAATTAGAGGAGTCATAATTATATTATAGTGTGTTTAATTGAAATTTAATAAAGAAAACCAATAGTCTTTGAAAATTTATATAATTTTCAGTTACATTTTAGTAGTAAAGTGCGGATTTGAAGTATGAATTAAAGTATATGATTAAATGTGTTCGATATTTGGTTTAATTAAAAATAAATATTATAATTAAAAAATAAATGCTAAATGGACCAATAAGGAGAGAATGAAACCTTGAAAATTCCCAAAGAATAATTTTATTTTTTAATTTGTTTTTATATTTCTATTAATTTAAGTTATATCTCTAGGTTTAATTATATTTTTTCATCCTTGTAGTATATATAATAGATAGAAAACTGAATATCAAATTTTTTTTAGATAGGAAATCAAGTATAAAATTCAAAGTTAACAAAAATTATAACTTTATTTATATTATTAAATGTTGAATCACAAACTAAATATAAGGATCATTATTCTTAAAAGAATGTCTTACAAATTGGTTTGATAATTATATAACAAAAAATTATATTGTTAAAAAATTACATACCTTTGAAATTAAAATAAATATACATGAATATGTGAGAAACAAACAAACATCCAAAGTAAAAGAAAGAAGACGATTTAAAAATAAATATTATATTTTCAAAAATTAAATATCAAATGAACCAATAAGGAGAGAGTGAAACATTACTTTTATATTCTCACCAAAAAAACATTACTTTTATATATATGATTTACAACTAAACAAATATTATATGGGTCTAGATGGGGTTAAATGGATAGGGCAACTGAAATGAAGTTAAGTGATATTTAAAATTAAATGGTTTAAATGAGTATGGATCTAAATTGAGTGGGTTTTAAATGAGATGGTCTTAAATGGGATGGGCTTACCCATTTTAACACTTCTAAAATAAATATGAGTATTACTCAAAAATCTTAGTAAATTAAAGTTGTTAAAGTACATGAGTATTTTTTGTTTATCTCAATTTTATCGGGGGATTTATAAAAATAACCTTTTTGGGTTACCCTTTTGTAGAAATACCC